AATCGTTAATAGAATATAACTATAAGAGTTATATTCTCAGAATATTGTCATAAGGATAAATATTCTGTAGCACTTACGCGTGGTTCCTAATTGGTTGATATAGGCCATTATATCAACCAACGAAGACGCGCCACGACAGACGCACGCAATGAGTGGTGAGCAGATAACTGATTTGCATATTTGTATTTAGACATAGTTAGATGAAGATAAATAGTGATTTATTGCAGACATTAACTATAATAAATACAGTTCTACTTTGTACTTTAACCAAGTACTCGCTTCTTCTTACCGTCTTCCTCTGCACGTACGAGTGTACGTGAAGTCACGAGGCACCGCCTTATTCTGTCATCAGAATAAGTAGCTTGTACTGTCATCAGTACAAGCTTCAGAGTGCCCCGTTTCAGCAAGGCAGTAGAACGGCCCTGTTTCGTCCATGTTGTAAATTTTAGCAAGTGGGGATCCTTTCAGACATTTCCGGATGGCATCGCGCTGCGCCGGTTTCTTCTCCGAGTTTACGGAGCTACTGTCACGATGGGCGCTAAGATGCTTTAATCCGCGACGTGCCTATAAATAGATTAAACCCATCGTTTAGAAACAAATGGAGCTGGTCTTATTTTTTATACCGCTCAATGTGGCGAATCGCCTCGCTCTCGCCAGATCAGTTCTCCGACAGCATCATGCGCTTGGCTTACAATTGCAGAACCCAATTTGCAAGGGCTTCATCGACTGCAGGAAATGCCAGTACTCGGGTCCTCTACTCTTGAGTTCGAGGTCCATCACGCGCAGATACTTCTGACGATCACGCAGAATACTGGAGATCGTCTCCGACGAAGCGCGAGTTCGGTCTTGAAGAGTTCGAACTTACACTTCGCCTTATCTAACAGCTGCGACTTCGCAGCGTAGTGTTTGCGCCATACCACTGGCAGATCTTCTTCTTCTGCTTATACGTCAGGTTACTGACCTTTTAGGTCGCGACGGCATCGACGATTAAAAGGCGAATTAGCACAGCGAAAATATTTTTTTATTCGTGCATTACATTTTTAGGATAAGTGCGTTTGCTTTTCTGTCCACTCATTTATTCTGCTAATGGTTGGAGCAGCGAATCCTAACCTATCTCTCTGATGGTGTCATCATTCTAAAAGTAGGGGACGTCACTCCTGGCAGGCAGTGCAAATGAACCCTATACACCAAAACCTGAAGGCTTAACTTAGATATTTTACTCGTACATGTTCTCTAACCGGTGACCTCTCGGATGATGTTGCCACACCAACACTGTTGGGCTGCAAGCATACCTGTCACTTGCAACTTAAATTTAACTTAAGCACACAATTGTTACCCAATTTGCACAAACTAAAACCCAGACATCCATATCCGCACTCTAATGCATATGCACAACGTATCACCAACAGTTTGTTGCACGAATAGTTAATCGACGCGTCGCTTGACTTGGATTTTACTAAGATTAGGTGCTGAACACGGAAATTGGGCTCTTCACTGTTTTTGAGAGCTGCTTTTGACTGAAGGGTGTTTGCACCTTTTAGATTTGATACTATTGCTATATCTGGTACACTTGCGGTTCAAGGGGCATATCAAATGTGGCAGGTTTATCTGTATCCTGTCAAAGCTAGATCATATATGTGACTTGCCATCCGGTACCTATTTGTGGACTCCAACGAGCAGAATTTGCTCCTGACATCGTTCCTCAGGATGCGATCGGTATACTCTGACAATGTCCAGCTTGGCTAGAATGACCGCAACACTCTGGTGGTAAAAGGTAAATACCTGGCTACATAGGCTAGTATGTACGTTGTATCAAACGGATTCAAACGCTACAACAACCGCTCCTGTGTACTGTCAATTTGGTGGGACATTTCGCGATCCACACATGTTAATTGTCTCATATCTGCATATAAGTACACAAAGATTGACGTTCAATGAGCCACCGAGCGTTGTCAAGTCACATTTGGCAAGTACACACCGACACGACAACAGGTTCTTGAACGGGCCTTCGTCGTCGTCCTCCGCATGACTGCTTGCAGCCACTAGTCTAGTCCAAGTCGAGTTCCTGAGGTTCTCAGCCCTCTCTTATGCCAAAAGCCAGACCGAAAACGAGAAATGTTAGGAACCGTCTTTCGTCCTGGAGTGACGATCAAGTTGATGTTGAAGTTGAACTTTGGACGAGCCTTTCTGCAGGAACGGCCTTCGCGCCGCTTCTCAGAGTAGCCATATTGTCGAATTCGTAATCACGCATTGAGTCTAGGAATTTCGCCTTTTTCTGCAAGTCAACGTTTGTGCATTCGACGTTCTCTCCAGTTCTTAATTTGCTAAAAGAAGCAGAAGCCGGATATCGGTTCAGAGGAGGATTGTTCGACCAGTTAATCACCGCACGTCCCTAACGTGCGAAAGCTGATGCAGCAAACATCCACCCTTTCTCTATAGATTGACTACGTACACCTTTCCATATCGAAACACCAGCTCCGGCGTAGACACAAATGTCATGACTTTGGTGCATCGCTCTTCCTTGTAGGATCTTTTGCTGTGTCGCCCACCACGCGTCAGCAGAATCAGACAACTGGCAGCCACTGGCTGGTCGACGCTGTAGATCTAAGGAAGAAATGCACCCTCTGATTGGACTTCACCAGACCAGTACAAACAGGAAGCAGTGGTGCATGTCAACGTTGGTCCAAATAGAGTAGCGTTGTGCAGCTTATCGCTCACCCACCCCTTTATTCATGAGCAGTTCGTTGTCTGCTGCTGCTTTTACTGCACGGGCGATAGACTTGACAGTGTAATTCGTGTCTTTACCACAAAGGTGCTCACCAGCCTATTCCCAAAAAATCGAGCGAAGGCGCATATTGTACAACAACCCGTTCTCCACGCATGTTTGGCCAGCGTTGAGCCAATTCGCAGGCTTTCTAAATTCGTGTGGGCACAGTCTCGCGCCACTGTGTTCACGCAACTTCAGACAATAGGTTTGCGTGCGAAGATAATACTGGCTGTTCGCAGTTAGAATTGCGTCAGGAGTTCGAGCTGGATTTTGACAAGTGTTTCATTGTGGCGTATCAGTCTACCCGTGGGATGCCGCGTGTTAATGGAATCGACAAATGCACAGATCACATTGCCCGCCGCTTGACAATGCCTTGTGAGGGTAAATGAGTGTTTACGCAGTTGTTTGTACATTTAGCTCGGAGCGGATTCACCGAAATGCTCTGCTTGTTAGCTGGCATCTGCACTTCGAGTTTAAGTAAGCTTTGCATCACCATGGGACCATGTTGGTGGGATGGCGTCCATGGATAAGGTGTTTATTGTCGCGAGTGCACCGCGAAACTCAACGGCTCATTGAGCACTTTGAACTAGCAGACTACGAAACATTACACTTTCGCATCGTGTGTGATGCTTAGACGTCCCGGATATCCCCATTCCAGAAAACCCGTAATTACCTGCTTTAGCAAAGGTGGCGCACCAGCCTCTTCGTGCAATGAGACTACTAGCTTAGGTAGACCAGAGGTAATGCTCGCGGTGCTAACGCAACATTCCGCACAGACATTTTAAGTAATTCGACCGAGACTATCCTTCTTACCATGCGTTACGTGCTCAAGTCCCTGCATTGTATATTTTTTACAGGTTTGACATTTCTGTTGGCAAGCGAAGCACGAATATGGCAAGTGCGCTCAGCAATCGTGGCCTGTACGAGCTTCGCACTATCTGGTGGCTTGAGTGATGTTCGATACAACATACTACATCACATTCTATTTGCAGGGACTTCAGTACTGCCCCGCACCTAGCGTCACCAATCTACGCAATCGACAGACTTCAATCATCAAAGAAACCGTGTCGTATCGATGAACATCATGGCTAAGCCCTCATACATCGTCACGCTTCGAGGCAACAACGCCCGGCGAGCTGCAACGCAATTTTGGACACCTTCCATGCTATTTCGCTTGACGGTGTATTAATCCCTTCGATTACGCTCAGGATTCGGTACCTTTCGGTGTATAGGCACAGCGATGCACACTCGCTCCTTGCGACACTCAATCCTTTCTGCTCGGCGTATACCTCCCACTTCTACGTGAAAGAAAAGACGTCATAGCAGAGGTACCTGCGCGAGTCAACAAATGTCCTGAACGTCGCCCCACCCGCAATCATGAGACATACCGCGAGCAGCACGCAAGAGCAACGCCAGTAGGAGTGAACCCACCGAGCGGTCTTGTACCTGCTAGACTCGACCAGTCAGCAGCTTAGCACACAGCAGACCGCACGGAACACTGTGATCGGCACGACGTTCCGTACTGCACAAAATAGTGAAAGTTTAGTATGCGCTGTTGAACGAGTGGATCCAATTCAATTCGATCGCATCTTAGACGCGAGAGAGAAAAATATTGCTACAGTTCGTACAATAGGAAATTATAGAGAGAGGTGCACGTCGATAAAGCGATGACACGCGCTGGCCGCTGTGCTGTTGCGGAATCGACACTTTGAACGACGAGAGTGGAATGTCCGGCAGAGCCGTAGTCGGATGATTGCCAAAATTGGGAAACGACGAGCAATAATTGGTTGGCGCTGAGGGGGTGAACCGTATGGACGGTCGTGTGGGTCGTTTTACTGGGTCCGTTGGAAAGGCCAAGGGGGAACCGCACAATCCGAGAGGCGCGGCGCTCTGGTTCAGCAGAGCGGTCGGACAGGACGTAGTGGTTGTAGTAAACACGTCGGATCGTGGCCGCTTTTGGCATCCGCATACCGAGTGAACACGGCGACCAAACGTCGACATACAGTGCGCACAATTGCTCTGTACGTTGTGATCCAACGACGAGCAGCCGACTGATCGTAAAAGTAAAAAATTCAATCGAGCTCGAGCCAATGGCGATGTATCGACCAACAACGAGGATGAGATGAGGTAGCGGCCGACGGCTCGGCACAAGTCCGCAAGTTGCTTCGGGCTTTAAGTATCCGCTATATTTCATGGTTTACTAGTCTTCATTATGTATGCGGACAGATTGCAGTTAGTTTATGTCCCTGTTCGTTGCTAGGTACGAAGACTGGTCGGGACGGTCGACGTCTTGTGCCGACAAATTCACGTGAGCTTTGTATCGACCAATAGCGGTAAAGAGTCGTCGCCCAATAGAGTCTGTGCGTTGACGACGTCGCCTCTGGTCTTCAGCGCCCTGGTTTACTGAACGAATGGCCCGATTCTGGTCACCTGCTGGAACTTCAACATGCGTTTCGGAAGATCGGACAATGTGGCGGTAATTTCGCCCCCGATTTTGCATGTAAAATTCGACGACGCCATCGTCTTTGTTTTCAGGTCGCCACTTGAAGTTGCTGGTCGATTGTGCGAGTAGACGACGTGGCGGCCGAAACCCACCACCGATCGTGCTCGACGCTGGCATACTTCGACCAAGCCTATTCGACTGTCCTTTTTTATATTCTCGACTACATCGTGGCGCAAATAGAAGCGCGCGTACTTCTCGCAGCTTGAAGTTACACGGCAACGATTTGACGTGAGGATGATAAGAGCTTGACGCCAACAGCTTGCGACGGCTGTCTACCACACACTCACACACACATCAAGTCTCGCGGCAGCCGTTTCCGCCCTGCTGGTTCAACTTGGGGCTGGGAAGACGTGGTTGAATCGCAAGCGGGCAAGGGGTCCGCTCCGATTGGTCTGGCTCGGCGCCCAGGACAAGTCGCATTGGTTAAAACCGGCCCTTCTCTCGGCCCCGGCCGCCCCGTCTACCCTGCTGCCACTTTTCACCTCTTTGAGTTCTGCGACCACAATATAAAAACGCAGAGGGAGGACGACGACGTCGCTGCTGTCGGTCACTTTGCTTTTCGCCCCGAGCGACTCAGTGTCGCGAAAAAGCATCCGATTCGGGTTATAACTCGCACTAAAAAGCACTTTTTACATGCAATGAAGCGTTCCCGCGCCTGCGACGACCTTGTCGCACTAGCCGCTGAGCCATCAACACCCTGTACAGAAACACGTCCATACGACGTCCATCATACACGGCCATCGTCGCTTGTCGACACTTGCCACCGATTCAAGCGCTCGCGAGCGTCAGTAGACAGCAATAGCAGCAGCAGCAGCTATAGGGACGAGATCAATGGGTTCTCGCTGCATCTGACGGACATGGGGGATGCTTGGGCGTACAAGAACGGGTCGAGGAGGTCGCTGTCGCCCTTTCGCTCTAGTGACGAGGTGAAGGACCTTGAAGCGAGTGACGACAGGTTCCCGTTCCGTCGGAACTTACGTGAGACGATGCGGTTCCGACAGAAGAAACAGCGCGTGGCGGAGATCACGAGCAGCTTCGATGGCTTTGGGATCCATGATGAGGACGCTGCGGCAAAGCAGAGCTCGGATAGGGCACGGGGTTGTTTGAAGGCATCGGTGGAGGCCCGAGAGACGAGCGAGCCGCGGTTTCTGCGTGGGTTGCGCTTTCCACACCAAACTAGGTGCATTGATCCGCTGGACAAGCGACAGGGGCCGTCTTTTGACTTGTCGGCCTTGATCAGGCTGTCGGTATCGCGCAAGCGATGAGCTCTTGTTGCTGGTTGCAATGCAGACGGAAAGAAGGAGAGAGAGAGAGGAGAGAGAGAGAGAGATTCACCTCACATACACCTTCGCTTGAAAGGGGGTACTTTTCTCGTCAATATCAAGCGACGGGACAGAGGGGATGCTGACGACTGCTCAGCTTTATCCGCTTTAGACGCTGCAGTGCCGGCTGAAGTGTGCCGCTGCAGTTATTAGACGAGCGTTGTTGGTCTCGACTTGCTCGGATTGCGGCAATTCGTGTCAAGAATCACGACATCCGTTGTTGATTGTTCGGTCGTCGAGTGAGTGAGTGCCTTGCAGGTAACCAGTTCTTTACATACTATTTATTGGTACCCTGCCGCACATGAACTAAAGAGCCCTCTCCTGATAATTTTTGGTGTACCTTTTGACTCGACCTGGCCGGTTGGTCGGTTGGTTGGTCGCTGCTTGTGTCTGTTGTCTGTATTCTTACTCGTCAAAGAGGCTTCGGAGCGCCAGCGCAGTCGTCACTACGAGTGTCTTTCGTTGCCACCACGTTGAAAAGAACGCGCACGAAAGACTTTTACAAGCCAAATTCCTTGAGGTACGAGGTCTGTTCAGCGCAGATGCCGTCTGTTTTGTTGTGCTTTCGGCAACTTCTACCTTGTCAAAGGATGAAAGGAATTGGGGCAAGTGGTCGTTCAGCAGATAGTAAAGGCTGGCTGCGCCTCGACAGCCCTACGACTGACTTCAACTTTCCACCTGCACTAGATGCAGACATTAGTCTACACTTTCAGGAGCTCTTACCTGGAAAGCCAGCTGATTTTAACCCTTCCAACCTCTACTTGGTAAAGACGCCGTCGATCGCTACCGTGTGCGTGCGTACCCGCTGGACTGAAGCTCTTAAAGTACGGGATTATTTCACAGAGCGGTTTCGTCTGACCAGGTGGGTTCATTGCATCAGATACAGCGACAAGACAACATGTTTGCTTGCGTCAGATGCAAAGACTTTACATCAGCTGACGACCACAGTAGGTAATCGACGAGTTGCATCGCGAGAAATGACAAGTGGGCCGCTGATGATACTGACTCATTCATGTGTGTGGGGCAGAGATGGTTTATGGAAACTAAAGAAAATAGAGATTCGAGAACAAGTTGTGGCCGATTGGTCTACAAGCGCTACGGCACGGGAATTCGGACGTAAACCAACGCAAATCGCACGATGCTTTCTTTTGTCGCCGACGAAGACGCAGCCTTTTTAAAGCTGGTAGATAAACGATGTATTTGCTATTTACCACAGTACCCTCTCCCCGCCCGATTACATTTCAAATAAAGGGATGCTAGTGGTTGCACATCTGTTTTTGGTAGTTCGATACTTAGAACCTGTCTACATTAATACTGCCTTCGTAAATAACCCATCTGACCAGCGTATGCCCTTGGAACTAAAGTTGGGCCCCATTCGATTTAACGTACCCTCCCAGAGGTACTACAAATTACTACACAGACAGCCTTGAGGTATAGTGTAATTACTAAGCCACAATGGCAGGCTTAAATTTGATTCAAATTGCTTTCATTTGGGCAGCTAAACCTGAAAAAATACTCAGAGATTGGCTTCTGAAGGAACTTGCTAGTCCTCATAATGCTGATGTTGTCCTTGGCTGTCTGGATGGCAGCAAGCATCTCATGGTCGACAATGTCTTGCTGCATCTAAAACAGCTGCAGCAAATTTGCACACTGCAGTGCCTCAGTCTTCACAGGTATTGTTTCTTGACTGTATTCGGCCTCTGCTTCATCTTTCGGCACAGGATTGTTCGAAATGATCCTTCATAATTTTTTCTAATTCGCGCTCAGCTAAAGCTCTTTAACATATTCTTTCAGGTACTTGATCACTACAAAGTCAACTTTAAACTCTTCCAGGACAAGTGTCACGTCATCATCGGTTGTGCATCTTCGTCAATGGTTAAAGCAGTTGAGAAATGTTCTTAGCTACACATCCATAACATAGGCTGCAATAGGTGTATGTAAGCCTCGATCACATCTGTAACGGGGTAGCCCTTTACATGGTATTGACACCAAACGGTGTCAATAGGAAGATTTTCTAGCATGACAATATTTTACCAATTTTATCCGAGATAGGTAATATTGAGGAAATATTCTCCTCCTCTAGATAATGTCCATGCGCTGCGCCAAGATTGGTTAGTAAAAGACTTATCAACCATAGATTGCCACCAATCGCTGCTAGACGCTCGCAATGAGTGGTGAGCAGGTTGTCGTCATACGACGACGTAGTTTAATATAGTTAGATAAAGGTTAAAGCTATATTGATAGCTTAACTATATTAAATATAGTTCTCTTTTTACCCTGTACCCAGATTAGTCATTGAGTAGATTAGCTTCCTCGGCACGTACTAGTGTACGTGTAGTTTCGTGGTACCCCAAACAAAGGGGCCCCGTTACACCTGGTAGCACTTTGTAGTCCTTCCAACGACTGCTTATTGCACGTCCAACATGAACATATTGGACGTAGAAGACGACAGATTTCACGTCACACGTAAAGGCTACTTCCATCTGAGTAACTCTAAATGGGAGATAGTCGACCGCATGAGTGTACTCCTGGGCATACCTGTCATCAGTAGCATGTTGGAGTCTCTAAGCAGAGACCAGCAACATGCTGCCATCAACGAGTTCCTACAAGGTGAACTTGCCGTCGAAAGACAGAAGATAGCCTTGATACAACAGCAAGACTCTCATCAGTCGATGGGTGGGCCGACGCACATGCGTTGACCCGAAACCTTGAAGAATGATATCTCAAGGTACAAGGGAACCGATGAAGATTCCCTATTGAGATGGTTCGTCGAGTTAGACGAAGCCATCAGGGCCCGTCACATCGAGAGTGACGAGATGCAAGTCACCCTCTCCATGTCAAATTTGACAGGACAAGCAAAGACGTGGGCCTTACGGCTCAAGCTTCACAACCCAAACGTGTTTGAGTCGTCGGAGATCTTGAAGTCTCGGCTCAAAGAGACGTTTGAGCCGCCGAGAGCCGAGTTCAGCACGCTCTGCACTCTTGAGGCTCAAGCAAGGTAAGCGTGATGTGCACGCTTACGCACATCACCTGCGCTACCTTGCGAGTAGCGTCACGGAAAACCCTGTTGATGAGCACACGCTCATCAACGTGTTCATCTACGGCCTTGTAGATGGTCTGGCGAAGACCTACATGTTCCAAGAGAACTTCCATACGCTGAAAAGGGCGATAGCGTATGCGGAACAAGAAGACTTCAGCCTGATACAGTCTCAGGTAAACTCATCAAACTATCGTCAGACGAGGCGACAGGAAACAGGAGGCCCCAAACCAATGAACCTCTGTTACATTGAGAGCGAGAATCTCTCTCTCTGAGCCACAAGCGAACGGCAAGATGCCATCGCTGTCAGAATATCGGACACTACGCTCATGAGTGTGGTGTCCCGAGCACCGCAACACGTCCAAAGACAGGACGTGATGACCACCGTTGGCCAAGGAAAGGTCCGAGGCGTGGGTCCGACCATGTCGCTAAACCGCGACAGCAAGTCGGACCGCCAAAAAACGGACAGGGTCAGTACGGGCGAAGCACCCTGATGATCCAGCAACGTCAAGAAAATTTGCAGGACTCTCGACGAAGATTGCTCCCAACACACAGTCGCTTTGTGTTACTGCCCCTAGTGATGAGGAGTCCCTCATCACTTTGAAGATCGAAGTGACGAGTGGAATGTCACTTCGCGCCCTAGTTGACTGTGGGGGCGTCGAACAGTTTTTTTCGACGCCAGTGCTAGAGAATAGTAGGCTCAACTGTGTTAAGCGAGAGTTCCCTCCAATAAGGATAACGGTGTGCCTTGCTACAGGCGCGTCCGTTACAGTGAATAAACGTGTAGTGGTAATCCACTGCATGCTAGAAGGAAAGCAGTACGATAATGACTTCATCGTACTGGATTTGGATGACAAATTTGATTTCATCCTCGGTCTGCCATGGCTTTGAAAGCACCAGCCATGGATAGCTGGCAGCATCGATCCGTGAAGATGCCTGCCGTTTGTTCGTCAGATGGCCATCTGATGAATGTCTTGGAGCTTCCACAAGCGTGTGGATGTACTACGAGTGAGTGCGATGGCTTCACTTGTGGTATGGTCGGTAGTACGATTGCACAAGATCACAGTATAGAAGGCCACTACACTGTGGAACCAGCTTCCGGCACCTGTGTAGAGACAATGGCTGCGCCGAAGGTTCACCACTCAAAAAGATCGAGTGGACCGGAATACAGATGCACATCAAGAAGGGCGCATCCAAGAGGAGAAAGTAGTGTTGTTAAAGATGAACAACACGTTGGGGCGAGTTCGACTATCAGGGAGTCGATCGTAAAGCAGACACAATTTACTGAAAGAGAGTCGATCGAAGAGGACGTGACTGTGGTAGTGCACTTACATTCAGAGCACGCAGTGAAAGTAAGTTCCAGCGTTCCTGAGAGTGATCGCTACTGAGGGTGTGGATTCCCAACTACCTGCGGATGTGTTTTCCTAGGAAAGCTGTGAGACGTTGAATGTCTTGGTGAATGACGGATCAAGTGCAGGCGCTTATACACTTTATCCGGTTACACCTCCGAAGTCAGCTTCGGAGGTAATCAAGTTGCTAACGCTAGCACCTAAAAGATTCTTGCGAGATCTGCGTAGTGACAAGATCAAGCAGATCTGCGTACTCGTCACAGAGGACGAGTACGTCGCCGATATTCGGTCGGCATAAGTGTTTACTCAGAACGAACGGGTTCTTATTAGCTCACCCATGGACAAGAGTGGCCTTGATGAGAAGACCCTGATTGAGCGATACACGTCTCAATCTTGGTAGTCTTTGGAGACAAATCCTTTGTATAATAATTTGGTCGAATTCGGGGATGTTTTTCTTGAATCCGTGCCATGCTAGCTGCCTAAGGACAAAGGCACTCGGTATGAGATCGAAGTGAAACCCGGTTCGAATTACTGTGTTATGAAGCAGTGGCTACTGC